GGTGCTAACCACGGATCCACCTTGCAGCCCTTGGAGGAAACAACTGTTGGAAAATGATTCATATTATCAGTAAGATAGAGAAAAATCCATGCTTTCCACTTGAACGATACAGACTTTTAAAGCAGATGTGTACACAGTTCTATTCATACTACAATAGGTACGCGTTGGTCTGCAGCAGACAGTCACTTTGTCCCTCATATCAAATACAGAAATACTCATGGGGCTCCCGTGGATGTTTCTGAAAGGCTGTGAATTTGCGCTTTTTACATCAAATAATGGGTCATTCAAATTGAGTAGCATCGCGTCAACATAATGGTTCCAAAACACCTCCCAACATTAACCCCTTAAAGCCATATTATATAATAATATAAAATACTGACAACAGACGTAAGCATTGAAGTAACAGTTTTGACCCATTTTCCCAACCAAACCTCTTCCACATCGGGTTTGGACTCAGGCCAGTCATTAATCACACGCCTCTACGGGTCGCTTGTCAGGTGATTTTAGCAGAGGTTACATGTATTCTTGAATCAAGCCACTTTATATACATATAACAGCCACATGAGCGGTGAATGGCTGCACTCGAGAGAGTCCTGGAACACGAGGGCCACCTGCACATTTGCTCATTCCATAAAGGTCTTTATTCAGACAGCAGGATCCTGAATCAAAAGGCAACCTTTCAGCTTTTAGGTTTTCAAAAAGTTACAAAAATTGATGAATGCAGTTGTTGGCACGCTCTGGTGCAGGGGGACTGAGACCCCATTTGACTAGTACTTTGTTTGAAGCATGCTGACGCCTTTGGGCATTTGAACATGAAAATGATAGATGCTGGCGTTTTTTTTTTTTTTCCCGAAGTTGGAATTGTGCTTCTCAGATGTCACATGTAGATTTCGGCTGCAGGCTTCTCAGCATGACTTCGCAACCTCCACACACACCAAGCACGTCGCCCAAATCTCAAAAATGTGACGAACAGTTCCAAAACAGAGTTACATCGCGTGTCACATCACCGTAACTGTCTCTTCCTTTTCTGTTAATAGACTCACACTGTAGATCTTGTAAGACGTGATGATTTTTGACAAGAACTCTTATATGTGCATTTAAAATAAGCAACCAGTTATCTTAGCCGAGGACAAAGGCAGAAAATGTGGCGATATCACCTCAAGGAAAGCTGACGTTTTAACATTTTATATTAAAGTTTTTTAGTTGGTAATGAATGTTTTTATACAGATTAAACATACCTGATGAGTGTACTCTACCTATAGTTTCTTGAAATTCTGAGAATGCAACATCCTGCAGACAGAGTTAATGAATTGGCACCAGAGAAAAGTTGATCGGGTGCACAAAGTGAAACGTTTTTATCCACTCATTCAAACGTGAATGTACGCTCTAAATGTTAAGAAAATATTTCCTGTGCTGATATGGTTCTTTTAGGTCACTAAAAGTCACAAGATAAAAAGTCAGGGGGTTATCTGTGGAGTATGAACATCCGGAGAACATTTCACGGCAATCTGGTCTTTAAATGTTAACGGTGAACGGGGGGGACCTCGTGTCACACAGGCAGTCAAACATTATTTGTCTCTGAGACTGTTTTGGAAGGTTGTTTGACCACAGTAGTCAGAGTTTAACATTATTCAACAACCGCTCCATCGTTTTGGGAATCTTTTTGCACTTTGATATCACTCCTGTATGTTGGAGTTACCCTTGCATAACAGGAGTTAATGGTGTAATCCCTCATTGAGCTGACAAGCTGACAAATGGCTTTCATGTGTGCCTCAGATAGAATAGATCAACTTCAGTAACAGACTCCGTCTTCATGTTGGAAATCTTGTGAGCCGAGAACACCGATTTCTACTTCAGAGCTACAGAAGCAACTCAAAACAAAACTAACTGCTACAGATTTCTTTTTTACCTCTTTTGCTTCAAGGCAGCGGCCCGCAATGACACCACTGAATAAGAGCCCTTTGAGCAGTCTACCCCAAGGCTGAGCTGGACTGACACATCAGAGCGCAGATGCCTCGTACTGCCCTTCACCCTTAGACTGTAAACGTGTTAAAGATGGATGTAGCCTCTGGTGTCATGGTCCAGACAGAACTTTGCTCTTTTTCGTTTTGCTTCCGTTGTTTTTCCCCTTCCCTGGTGTTTCATATCGGCCTTCAATCCCACCACTCCAACAGCCAGCGGAGGCAACTCCTCTTTACAAGTCAGAAGTCCGATTGTATGAAAAAATGGCCTTACATCTTCCTACCTCAGTAAAGAGCCCCCTAATGAGTTTATTGTCTCATTGCTAATTTCAAGTGTCCTTCACTAAAGCACGATGTGTGTTTTACCTTTATAAGGTAAAACTGTAGGAATACATTCAGCACTCTGTATGCTATCCGCCAATTGGGGCTTTTAAGTAAAGTGCACAAATTTAATGATCTACTTAAAGGGGGGGTTGAAAGGCTATTTTATTGGCTAACTGTGGTATTTGTTGGGCAAAATTTAAGGTCAATATTTTTTTTTTAAATGACAAATTACTCACCATATTTTACTACTAATGGAAAAGTGAGACAAAGAAAAATGACAGACATCGTAAGAGCTCTGTAGCCTGATTCCAGATCTCTTCACTGATGGCCTTTTTTCTTCATGAATAATTAATAACTTGGCTGGATATGTGTGTGGATATCCATATTTCAATTTTTCCTCGTCAAAAAGAACATTTCGGAGATTCACATTGTCTTTTTGGGCTGCAACGTGGATCGGTGGGTAGCACCGTTGCCTTGCAGCAAGAAGGTCGCTGGTTTGCGTCCCGGTGAGGACACCCAGGATCTTTCTGCGTGGAGGTTGCATGTTCTGTCTGTAGGTGTGAATGTGAGTGTGCTTGGTTGTCTGTCTCTAAGTGTGACAGACTGGTGACCTGTCCAGGGTGTCCCCTGCCTTCATCCTAAATCAGCTGGGATAGACTCCAGCCCCTCCGCGACCCTAGTGAGGATTAACAAGTGTATAGATGATGGAGATAAAATCCTTGAGGTTCAGGAGCAGGAAAACACTTCAACCACTCCCCTTCCCATCGTACGTCCATACATACCACTCTGGCCTTCCCACTTCTTCCCTCTTGCTTCTCATTCTTCACCCACCCTCCCCTTACCTCTGCTTCCTCCTCCTGTCTTCTCCTTTTCCTAGGCCAGGGGTGCCCAATCCTGGTCCTCGAGAGCCCCTATCCAGCATGTTTTAGATGTTTCCCTCTTCCAACACACCTGATTCAAATGATCAGCTCATCATCAAGCTCTGTAGAAGCCTGATAACGATCCTGATCATGTGAACCAGGATTGAGCACCCCTGTCCTTGGCTGTCCACCGGCTCGGGAGCTGCTGCTGATCTCTGACTAAGCATTTCCCCACATCGCATCAGCTTAAGTTATCACCAACACAACGCTCATTTGCATCCAGCTTCAGTTTATTGGTGTGGCCCTAGCTCGTGAATTTCCCCGTTTAATTTTGGAGGTTGATTCTTGTTTATCCCAAGTTGTGTAGTTGATGCTGAATACAGTCATAAACTACACAACGTATACAGTCCGAGTGTATTCTATATTAACGTTAGACTGGATGAATTCTTTATTTATCAGCACCAACACTTCAGGTAGGTGATGTGAGGATTCCTAAATTTACAGCTGAACAGATGTTTCTGGCCTGACAGTCTGAAAAGCTATCATCTTGTATTTCTTTCAGCTGCATTCGGCTGTTTGTATTCTTAATTTATTCATGGAGCCTGAGTGAGACAGGTCTTTCAGCTTATTTCTATACAAACTAATGCTGATTTACATGAGAATTCATATAAAAGCAAGGATGAACAGAGACCTGAGATCACCTGTGTAACATTTTAATTGGCTACCCTGTCATAATTAAAACTATCTGAGCCTGGTATAACTGATAGATTGGTCTGATAACATTTAATTAAATCAGATTCTGTTACTTTCCACAGACTTGAAGGCCACTGGATGCCGTCTGGCTTTACTTGCAGCTGTTTGTCTCTGCTGCTGCTACTTTCCAGATGAGGTGCACTTCATCTGAAACGAGCCTTTTGCTTACTGGGACAGAATATATAAGGCAGCCATCTTTAATGTTATTAGTAACACCTGTGCTTCTGTCTGCCGGGAGGAGAGGAAAACATAACACCTTCTCTCAACAGAAAATGCCAAGCATGAGCATAATGTAGGGCTGAATACTGATGTGAAATGATCTTAGCAGCATGCAAATGAAGAAATTAGCCTAACTGAATGAAACACTGAGACGGATTTTTGGTTTCTCGTCAAATTTTTTAAGTAAATCTGCTGGCACCCATGACCTCATTATTCCTAAAGCCTGCTTATGGCCCAGTACAGTGGACTACGGCTATTTTGTTGTAGATGAAACTCTATTTCGAAGTGTGAAATTAACCAAGGAGACACAAAAGTAGAGCTGTAGCTTTCTGTGACCGAGACATCCTTCACAGGTGTTCCTGATTTTGGCCACAAGTGGGCATGCGCAGAAGTACACGCTGCCGCACCTTCCACCCTTAAGGTAAGCTAACTGTTTGACTGCTAAACTTAAATTACCAGGAAAGCTAGCAAAAGTCGCATAACTTCTCCGCTTTTAATAAAATTCATAACAGATGCTTAGTTCTTCAGTTCGGCGCACATTTATGACTTATGCAATTCGTCTTTGCGAAATTTAAACAGTTACCGCCTTATCATTTTCGATATCGCTTAAGTTAGGTATTTTTTGAACGGAGTTTGGTTTGAGCGCGACTTAAAAACAATAGCCTTTAAGTTAATGCAGCAAAAATGAAACATTCGTGTCATTTACCTGTGTGGCAAGTGTAAACGCTGATATTGCTTTATGAGAGTGTTGCATTATCAAGCATAACCTACAATATACCAACAATTCGGCAGCTGTCAGAAACCTCCTGATTGTGCTTTTTAATTGGCCGTTTTTTGAATGGAGTTTGGTTTGTGTAGTCTAATGCAAAAACCAGCATGATAAAGTTGGAAAAACCTGAAGTAATTTTAAAAGTTAATATTTTAAATGTAAGTTCTGCTTGGTGAATATATGTTAATTAAACAAAGGAGTCCATATAGCTCAGTAGCATTAGGTCACGTTGCAAATGGGGCCATACATAGGTTATATAGTATTTTATTTATTTATTTATTTTTACACATTTTCAATAGGTTTAATCTGTCTTTCCCAAAAGTCTGGGAAATAATTTTACAAGTTTGAAAAATTAGTAGCGTGGAAGAGAAATCTTAATATTGACAAATGTGTAGTAAAAGCATACAATATCCTAACAATTGTTAACCCATACAGCTTTATATTATATATATTTTTGAATGGAGTCTGGATTGTGCTGTCATGTACTACAGATGACCCAAAATACAGCAAGCTGTCATTGCTATTGTATTTATAATTTGACATGATTTCTTTAGATGAAATTACTGCTGGGTTAATTACAAATCAGCATATTACCAAACACCAGCGCCGTGTTCTTTATCTTTAATTGACAGTTTTTAATGGAGCTCAGAACTAATTGCAGCCACAGACATAAACATGAAGAACAGAGTGAAGCCACCTCTTCAGTGTGAAAGGCTACACAGACAAAATATGGTTTAGAGAATGCGAAAATGTGCTATGATTCTCTTTCATTTCAGAGAACCGCCTGCTGTGCAGCCATGAGAGCGTTTGTAACACAGTGTCAAGCCAGGCAGCTTCTGCACAACAAGTTCATTGTCATTCTTGGAGGCTCAGGTGAGAGACATATGAGTGTTTGAGATTAGCAGAGTCTGAGTTGTTTGTATGTTTTACTTTGCCAAAGCCTTAAATGATAAGAATCTTTACTATAAAATATCTAAATCCAAGTCCTCCCATTGTCTTAATCCTAAAATGTTTCTTGAAATGTTTTTGAATTCTTTAAGAGAAACAAGGTGGCAAATGGATTTCAGCAGTCCATGTTCAGTATTTACCAGACACAGAATCTTATCATTTAAAGAGTTCTGCTTCACATCTTCGCAGCTATCTACATGCCTGAAATTCTCCATTGCTCTCTGCTTTTCAGGCTCCTATTTTTCGTCGTAATTGATTGAAATCTTTGAGTTTGTTCTGCTACTTGATGTGAGTGAAGCTTGTTGCACTTTTTCTTTGATTTCAGTGCAGCGCTCCATGTACAAAGACCTGGTTTTGCTGCTTCAGAGGGATCAGTACTTGACTCTGCCTCAGCTCAAGTCCAAAGTAAATCTTTCCACAAGCTTTTCATTACTCTCACACACAGTAGCACACCTGCAGTCAAACTTTAGAACCACCTGTCTCGAGCCGCTCTTTGTCATTTCCAAGGCCTCATCTCAGCCTGGAACCATTCCTCGTTCTGTCTTTATCAACTGGAAATAAAATGTCTTTCAAAGAAACAAAGGAACAAACTTCAGCAACAGACTGTGCTTTGCATAGTGATTAAAATGGAGGTAAAAATTTAACTGTGATCATCACAAAACAAATGGTTACGAATATGAAAAAACGTTGTCTTGCTTTTCGACCTTTAAATTGATCCCTATTCCTTAATAGATAACCGTTCTCATATGTTGCCTACTGCAGCAATTTCCAGTCTAGAGGGTGGCACAGGACAATAAGCAGGATAACAAAGAAGAAACAGATATGCTGTGCTACACAATATAATTTTTATGCTTCTGCTTTATAGAAATACTGAATAATTTTCATCTAAATTGGTCATATTCACAAATTTTCAGATTAAAAGTAGCTCTTAAAATACAGAGTCAGAAGGAGAGTCCCTAAACACCCTCCCAATAAAAGGATGTGTCAGTTGTAACTTTAAGGCTCCTAAAGTTTTGCTGTTTGGTCTTGAGTATTTACCAAAATACTTTGTGCTTTAAAACTAGCTTTGAAATCTGTCAGAAGTCAGACATAGCTCACAGCCAGAGCCAAGTATCCAGCCTACACACGAGTCATTTGTGTTTGTGTTTTACGGTCGCCTATCCAATGTGCATTACAGAACAGATAGCTTCTAAATTGGTGGTGGGGTGGAGGGTCTGTTTTGTTTTTCCATGTTGTTTTGCTTAGAAGGTTTAAAAAAGGCGTAACTTTCATTTACAAAACTCCTAAAAATGACATTTTTAGGGCTCTAGCAAACAAAAATCTGTCAAGTGTGACATAAAATTTGAGGTGGTTTCACCAGTTCACCTGGCCTGTGTGTATCTCTTGATGACAAATTTTATGTTCAGATGAAATAAATCTGACATTGGAGACCTAATTTCTCTCTTTTCAAACTAGTTTTAGTCCCACTCAGCATCTGTAAATTCTAGTGTCTAACAATAGTCTGCATGTGAGGTGTCTTGGGGACATCGGTAAATTGTTGCTTCAGAAAACAACTTGGGTTTCACCCTCCCCCTCTGAACATGGGTATTGTTGTCCTAGCCCCTTTTAGGAAGAAGACTCTCTCTGTATCTGTGATTGACAAGAACCCAAAGCAGTTGCCCACATGGGAGATGACATGGACCCAAATGAGTCATTTTACATAAAAATATCACCAAATTAATAGCACAGCCATTGTCTTTAACTTGTGTATGGTGAGTTTGTCAGACAATGTTGCAGTGGTTAAATCAGTAGCTTAGTGGTGCGGAGCTGCAGCTTGGCTATGGCTGTGCCCACAGCTGTGCCCAAAGTTCAAAATCATTAAACTCAGTTGAACGTAGTTGAATTTACAGCGGGGGCTTAAAACATGCAGACTGGTAAATAAGAGATCGAGTAGGTCTTCAGTTCCTTGGATGCTGTGAGTGCATGAGGGCTCTACTTCACTCCTGTACTCAACAGCAGAACATTTGGGCTGCTTTGCTTTTGCCTGAGACACTTTAGAGTTAGTCGAAGCATCTATAGCAGGAGTGCCCAATCCTGGTCCTCGAGAGCCCCTATCCAGCATGTTTTAGATGTTTCCCTCTTCCAACACACCTGATTCACATGATCAGGATCGTTATCAGGCTTCTACAGAGCTTGATGATGAGCTGATCATTTGAATCAGGTGTGTTGGAAGAGGGAAACATCTAAAACATGCTGGATAGGGGCTCTCGAGGACCAGGATTGGGCACCCCTGATCTATAGAAAGTAAATCAACCTGGTGGACTGTGGGGCAGCTACTTATACTGAATGGCTGACCTGGAAGCAGCAGGTAGTGACGGGGCGGTATCATGTACGTTTGGAGAATGTTGCTCTCTCTTCCACGCCCATGAAGGTTTACTGCTGTACCAGGAGTTTCAAAGTTGTATATGATGTTTCCAACCATGTCTTCTAGAGCCTGAAGTCTCTTTGATTTATTCTTTGCTGTAATGAAATAATTTCTTCTCTTAGCTTTTTAGGAATCTCTTTTATCTTTGCCATGTTTTCTGCTCAGCATGAAGCACATTTAGTGTCAATATAGAGATTCCTAAAGGCATAGTTGTATTTCACAGCAAATTGGCAGCCTTACGTGCCGGTAAATGATTTTTAAAACTGCAATTTTAGATAGGGGTTTAATAATTATGACATTGCTGCTTTACAAAAAAAACCTCAAAAAAACGTGCAACTCAAAAACTCAGCTCATGAAACCATAATCATCAGAATACCTATAATGTTTAAACCTCTAAATGCTCAAGACAGTTGGAACATTTTGATTGCAACTGTAGTTCATTTATGAAACAGTAGAATAAATCATCCATTGTTAGTTTAGTTTAAAGCATTCTCTGTGAACTCATCCCCCGAGAAGATTGACAATTACAATTAAATGAATATCATTGTAATACCAAAGACCTCTGCATAATATTCACTACCTGAAAATTACTCTTACGACAGCTTACATGGTATCTGTTCCACTAGACAGGTAGATGGGTTCCTTTCACAGCTGGAAACCACTGATGCAACTAATACAGTAACTCTGAAATGAACTTGTGGATAAAGTTTTCTTATGCTGAGTACCGCCTTTTAATACCTCCCTTTGTCTCATCCAGGGGGAGTTGTCTTTTGAGCGGGACTGCCTGGTGGAAGGAGGTTCCATGGGTCCCATGACAAACGGTACCGAATACAGAGAGGTCCGACAGTACCGCTCCGACCACCACCTGCTGCGCTTCTACTTCCTGACACGGATCTACTCGCCCTACGTGGAGAGTGTCTTAGAGGACTTTCGGCATGGGCTCAAGCCTGATGTCATCATCATCAGCTCCTGTGTGTGGGACATCTCCAGGTAACAAGACTTCTGATTCCTTCTGTCCTTCTGAATTCCCCTTCAATGACAAAGGCTGCGCTGTGCATAGGAGACTCCTCTGATTTGTATGTCATAAGCTGTGGTTTGAGCTCAGATACTTGTTGATGTGATTGGGTTTTCTGTGCATTGTAACCTCCGTGCTGCAGCTAAGATCCCCTCACTGTCCACCAGTAAACTTAATATGCTGACACAATATATGAAAAAATACTGTATTTCAAGAAAGGCTGGACAAATCATTTAATTAAAAAGTAAATTCTAACTAGATGCACTTGAAAGATTGGGAGCAATGTCTTTCCTGTCTTACCAGTGCTTCTGTAATTACCTTCCACTGATGCCTTGTCTTGTCAAAGAGCTGAAACTGGAAATTGAGGCCGTTAATGTTAGCTGATTACGTGTGGTTTTGGAGCTAGCTCTAAACTAGCATTTGTCTCAGGTGCTGTAACGGGTTTATTGTTGTTGTCTGCCTATTTGATATTTTCACATTTCTTTAACATCCATTTATTCGTGTGAACATGTGCTGAAACATTACAGGCTGTTTTAATCTAAATCATTTCATTTATTTTCCTTGACCCTGTCTGATGCAAAACAACATTTGCTAGTTATTAATTTTAACTGCATGTTACTACAGTGATTAAATCAATCCATTTCAGAATTATTTTAAGTTTTAAATCTCCAGTACAGAGAGAGGATTGCTGTGACATACTGCAGTTACAATAATCTGTGTATCCTTTTGAATTTCAGGTTTTGTGACTAGGCTGCTGACAGATATGTCTATTAATATTAATAAAATGATAAATTGATTTAAGTGAAAGTGTAATTTAAGTGAAAAATAAAAACTATCTTTTGAATTTTTATGAATCAAACATCACAATATTTGGCTAAATGGGAAACAGTTGTTGGGTTCTTTGGTTAAAAAAAAACAGTCATCACATGCAGCCCTAAACTACTGGTTATACCTCACATGGTGTCAGCTACTGTGAGTTCTGACAGTCAGGACTGAGTGTGAAGTAGTTTGGATGAGCTGTTGATCAATGATGTTGAGATTGAAACATTAAAAGGCAAAGCAGTCCGCCCATTTCAAACAGGCATGTCTTGAGCTCTTGCACCACTCTAGTTTAGGTGAAATACAAGCTGTAAAGAAGAACAACTTGAGAAAACAAAAAGTCATAGGTAACAACTTAAAAAAAAAAAATGTAATTAGGCAATTTCACGCATTTTCATAAGTTTAGTCTTTGAGTTGATCAAACTTAGTATTTTTACTTAATTGTAATATTATTATAATAAGAAAAAAAGAACTTAATTGGTATTGCACTTCTTGTTTTGCAGTCACAGGATTGCAAAATGCTTTAGCAATGAAAGATTAGAAAATAAAATCAGGTAAGATTTGACAGTCTGTTAACACTCAGCAGAGACACACAAATCAAATAACAAAGGCCAGCAGGCATAAGTGGACCTTTTAAAGAAGAAACATAATCAGGGATCCTGATGTTCTCATGCTGGTTGTTCCATTGCCTGGAAGCCCTGACAGTAAAAAGACAGTTACTACTCGTCTTTAGTCTGGCAACAGGGACAACAAGGAGGCCCTGACCTGATTGTTGCACACAGGGGCTGATCAAAATGTGGAGGCTCTGTGATGCAGCTGTGGGCTCATGATGTGCTTTCAAAGTAATCAATAACGTTTTAAAGTCAGTTCTAAAGCATAAAGTCAGCAGGTAGAGAGAAGCTAAAATTGGAGTAATCTGATCTAATTGTCTGGTTTCAGTGAGAGCCTTGCTTTACTGTTTATTGTTAACTGTTAATTTGCTTTAAAGTAAAGTAGCTCCAATCTCTGTGCTGTATATACTGAAAGTGTGATCTAAATATGAGGTCAGATAGCTTTTTATCATCTTTATTTTTATCAATTGTGTCAAACTTTATTACTCCTGAAGAATTTTTGCTGCAGTGTTTCAGTCACAATCAACCCAAGAGCACTTTTCCCAGTATGACCCCTATGGCTCAAGTGCCTTACATCAGAAGGCTGGAGGAAGTGTGTGAACTACACAGTCTGTCTTCATCCTGGTTTTAACTTTGATCAGAGAGAGGACCATCTGACTGCTCTGAGACACATCACATATTAACACACACATAACCTCCATCATGCAACTTTCTATGAGAAAAAAAAAGGGAATGCCTGGGGGATATAACCCTGATGCAGTGCATGGAAATTAATATTTAACAAAATGTACTTGGAGATTTTACAGTGCAAAAAGGAAAGTAAACATGGAGTGAATCACAGATCCAATGACAGACATTTAAAGTTGTCGGTACGTTTACTTTGGTTAAATTAAAAGCTTAGCTTCATTTGTTGGTAAATTTATGTTCCTAAAGCCTAAAAAATTGTAATCATTATTTTTGCTAATGTATATGTCACAGTTTTTACAGTGAATGGTTTCCTATTGGCTAGGCCACTAATCCATTTGCGTTTTCTCTTGGTTGGCCATAAACTTCCAAGGCTGTGTTCAAGCATGTCAACATGTGAGAGCAGTAATTGTCACGTTACAGCATGCCATATCTCACAATCAACAAGCTGTCACCTGTGTTCCAAGTGGTTTAGTAAGCAGTGGGTAGTGCACATCTGATAGATCCCAAACTGGAGCAGAGAGCCTCCCTCAAGTCTGTGTCAAACTCACAGCAACAGAAGCCCTTTAAATGCTTCAGAAAGCCAATGGCGATGAAGCAATGAGCCACGAAATAAATTCAGAGCGTCCTATTCGTTTCAGCAAGTGAAGAACAGCACTGGATGATGATGAGAGGGCAGGGTGACCCTCTATGAGCAAATCCGCTGAAAATTTCCAAGAAATTGAACAAACTGTGCGTCAGAATCACCAGATAACGGTCAGGCAAATTGTTGACATTTTCAACATGGCATTTGGAACAGTTTAGAAAATTCTTACGTCCACTTTGCGCATCACTGCATCACTGCCAAATTCTTGATTTTAATTGTCACAGTCTCAAAATAAAAGCAATTGGCTTGAGTATTTTTGGTGGAGCTCTTTTTGGTAAGCATGCTCCTTTCTAATTAAAATGAGCGACCAACGCTGCACAGTCCTTCATATTCACTGGAGATTTCAAAACTTCAGCACCACTCATCATTTTATTTCATGTGTCCTGATTGTTCTAATTCTTAGATGATAAATCGTTTCCTGTTCTCGGGTCTCTAATGACGAAGGAATCTGTAACTTAATGCGACTACCTGATTAAATGATTAAATTCTAATTATTTAAACAAGCTTGTCTAAACCAGGATGCTTTCCGACGTAGCTTGCCATGCTTCTGACTTACATACTGACTCCACATGCAAACAATGTGTTTGGTAAATACAAATATGAAATTTGAATATTATATAATGTCATAAACCACTGCCTTTGAAGTAAGAAAGTCTTACATTATCAACCACCTTAGCATTAACGCCACCTCAGTTCATGTGTGGTGCACTTGTTTGTGTTTGTGGTATTCTTCACAACTGTCCTTTAGATGCAGGGCTGTTATTCCAACAACAACATTACTACATTTAGACTTTCTCTTTGCTGCGTTTTATTCCTTAATTTTTGTTAAGCAAACTAACCCTAATGTGCAAGTTAGTTTAGGTGAGGAGAAGTTTGTTGTACAGTTGTAAAAGCTTCCCTTTATCTGTAAAATACGCATTCATTCCAGTCTGTCTGATATTGCTGTAACTTCTGTGTTCTTAGGGATTGTGCTACTCTTAGGCAAAGCATTGCTAAATTGCAAAATAATTTATTTGAGGAGACAAGCTCTTAAAACAGCAGACGGCCATGAGCTGTCATTTGTCTGACTGCTCCAGCCTTCACACAATTTGCACTCATTTCTGCAGAGTGAAAAAAAACCTGCTATACAGTACACCGTTGAATATGACAGTTATCTCTTGAGAAATGTGCTCCATAAGTTAACCGTGATGAAACAAGACTTTTATTCGCCTGTCTGCTGCTGCACATCCTGGTCCTCCAGTCATTTGTTTGGTGTGAATTTCATTAATGTTGAGCCTTGTTTGGGTTCAGTCAGAGTGAGAGGGAGACGGGTGTGTGATTAATTATGTCCAGAGACTGAATGGAATCACTCAAGCAGCTGCCGCAGGGGGAAATGTCAGCATTCCCTGTGATGAAGAAAAATCCGGTTGCAGTTCCATTCTGTTGTTCTACTGTTCAAATACACACTTCTTCTCCAGAAAAGTCCCTCTCCTGCTGAAGAGGATGAAAATCAACTATTAAGCATGTCAAAGACCGGAGAGGAACATCACTCTTTGCAGAAATGATATAAAGCTGAATGAAATGCAAGTGCTTTCACTCCATTCACTGCCCACTGTGATCATTCAGACAATTTCATTCTCAAAAAAAAAAAGCTTTTTTAATGGAAAAAGTCAGAAAATGGTCAGGCTGCTCTGCTGATAGAAAGGCAATAGTAACTGCAGTAACTGCTTGTTACGTAGAACAGCATCTCTAAATGCAGGACTTGCTCATGCTCAGCCCTACTTAACCACAACTGGAAAACCACTGCCTCCATGCAAGCCAGCCCCAAACCAAGTACAGATTCATTTTTTTGTGATCTTAAAAAATTTCCATTCATAGATCTAATTTTTAAATTGCTGACTATGGCATTTGGCACTTCTCTACTTGGGCTTGATTGCAAAATATTTTTTATTTAAAAGGTGATGTACTCAAACCTCTAAGAAAAGAACCATCAGTGTCAATTACCTTTCTATAAAGTTGCTCAATTTGTTTTACCTTTTTTTTTTACTATATCACAGGTTTCACCAAAGATAACTGAGATTTGTAAACACATTTCAACAATTTCCCTGAGGTTTGCACCAAAGGGATCAATAAAGTTCTATTCTATTCTTCTATTCGTCTACATAGATCTGCCATAACAATAAATCATTGACAGGTAAAGTGAATTACATTGATCATCTCATTACAATGGAGTGCTCTGCTTGGAAATCTGGCATTCGTGTGGATGTTACTTTGATACTTTGACCACCTATATAAATATTGTTTCAGGAAAAGCACATTGTCGCATGGCAACAACACTCCCTGACAGCACCAGCCTCACCCATCTGAACAGTGTGCCGCTTTGCACAACAGAAACTTCCCAAGAACAGCTTGAGGAACACGACAAACAGCCCATGGCATTTACACGGCATTCAAACTCCCCAGATCTTAATCTAGCAACATCTACAAAATGAATGTCTATGAATGACTTTTCTAATATACATTCCAATAACTATTGGATAGATTGTCAGATATTCATCTTTCACACTGGCTTTGGAAATCTCTTTGCCTTTTTCTTTCTCACCACGTTGCAGTTTCCTCTGGCTTTTAATGAAATTTCTCAACAGCTGTAGACTGGATTTCCATGAAATACAGCCCAACCATGTGTCCTGCAGGGCTAACTGTAATACGCTTGGTGATCCTCTGACCTTTCCACTAGCACCGCTATTGGGTCAGCTTTTTAATTTATCAAATTCTTTTGTTTATGACCTGCAAAACTAGCAATATTCCCATCCCACTGAGCTGTGTGTTGTGTTTAGTAATTTAATAAGTATCAGAATTAATAATATACCATCAGCTTGTTAGCATTGTCTTTGAGAGCATGTGAGCCTTCTGACGTTGACATTTAGCCCAAATCACGACTGTGTCTCAGCACAGCCTGCTAGAATCGCTCTAGACTGTTGGACTGGTTAGATTATTCATCCATCACTGTAGCAAGCAGCACTGAGCTGTGCACAGCATTACGGGAGATCCAAATCACCACAGTGACCAGCATTATCAGTCAGTGTAGTTTATCACCCAATGCTGCTGTTAGAGTATATGTAACAAGAAATTGCAGCCTATCAATTGCGAAGGTGTGTCTGAGTAAAAGTAGAAATGCTGTCTCCTACTTGGTGTGGCCACCAGGGAGGACTGTCAAGTGTATTTTTATGCCGTCAAATGTCCCACTGAGACCTTATCTTGTTAAGTGTTTTAGAAAACAAATAGTAGCTGGTTAATGGTTGTGGATTTGACCTTAAAAATTAATATTATCAAACCAAAACAATACACCTGTTTGATAATTGCACTGCTATGTGGATGCAAGCATCATTTTACAAGAACATAATACTGATTGGATGTGTTATAGCTCTGGATTGTGCTTGTTTGAGTATATGGCACCATTGGTATAAACAAATAGATATCTCACATTCAAAGATATAACAAAAGTAATACTGCAGTTGTCAGACTAGGTGTTGCGGTTTCATTCCTGCTTATCGGTTTTGTTTTGTTTTTTCTTTATTGGAAGGTATGGCCTGGAAGGTCTTGAAGAGTACAAAGAGAACCTCCACAAGTTCTTTGGCCAGATCAGAACCATTGTCTGCCACAACTGTCTCCTCCTTTGGGCTTTGGCCATGCCACTTGGCAAGAAGATCAAGGGTGGATTTTTGGTGCCTGAAGTGAGTATCTGAGCAATGGGCGAGTTTTCATTCCAGCCAAACACTACACCAGCTGATTTCACTTATTAGCACAGCTACATCCAGAAAACAGGCAAATAAGCAGCTGCATGTTGGAGCTGTGGAAGCAAAAGAGTTAAACAGAAGAAAAGTTGCTTCTTAGAACTTTCTGAATTTTCTGTCATGATCTTACATTGGCCTGGACCTTCTGATCTTTATCTAGAAGCAATTAGACTCATTGCAAATGTTATGTTTGTTGTTGTAGTGTAGCACACTGTGGGTTTTGAATTGTAGTTTCTTCTTTGTCAGAATGGCACAGGACACTCGAGGCTTGACTGCCTTAATAAGTTGTTTGGGTGCTGAATGAGAGGCGCTAACCTCATCTTAAATTGCTGCAAGGCTATTGTTTTGTATGCCAACCACACACATTCAAAATATTAATTACAATCCATGTACTGCTCCTCAGAAACCTAAAGAAAAGCTGATCGAACACAGGTCTGCAGTGCTTCTTAAGCTGGCGTTACACTTGAAGTTTTTAGGGATCCAGTGCTGAATCTGCTTTAGTGGCCTTCTTCTGTCTTTGGCTTCATCTCAGTTTAGATATTTTGAGACAGCAAGCTGTGGGAACACCTTTTTCTTGTTTCACTTTATGTTTAAAGTACCTTTATTGAAGTATTTTAAAATCACAATATGTGGATGTATTGCTGTATATTGCTTCAACCATGCTTGTTGACATGCTGTATATTCACAAGTGTTTACAGAAACACTGGTTTTAGCGATTTAAGGTAACAAATCCAACTAAAAACACCTAACAGTCGCTTACATTACAACAGACCATTAATGAGCTTATGGGATGTCACTCTCCCAACTGCTTTAATTTTGCCATTTTTTCCCCAATAAAATGGGGAAAAAAACATTTTGACTTCCTTTATTTTTACACAAAAGCACAGCATGTGAGGGGAAAGTAAAAAAAAATGAGACATTTACTTTAAAATACAAGGACATGGCTCCAGATGAGATTTAAATTATAGGAGGATGAACAAGTTTGCTGGAAACCAGCAACACAGGAGGGGGTAATTAAAACCGTAATTCCTTGGTGTCAGTAGGTACAGTATGCTGATAGAAAATCCAGATTCAGCCTCTGGCTAGTCATAACTTTGACTTACTTGACTCTCACTACTTTTTTTTCCACCATACACTAAAGGATAAAAATCTTTTGATCAGTTGCTTTAGTGTTGGTTTTCCAACTGGTGAACTCAATACACCAAGGAGTGAAGTTACCATATGTTGTATATAGAATGTGTGTTAAAGTGAAAGTTTTTTTTTTGTTTGTTTGTTTAATTTGAACTAAAAATCCATATCCAACAGAGAATACTCACTGTGGTCAAGAAAAGGTCACTGCCACCTATCGTCAAGACTCAAAATGTAAATTTCATGTGCGTTGTTAGGTTCAGTATATATGTTGAATAATTTCCTACCATCACTGAATCACTACAGATCAGCCACTTAGGTCCCACGCTGTGCTATGACATCATTGAAGCAAACTTCTACAGTTGTCAGCTGGCTGATGCCTACGGCTTGGATGTCCTCGACCTGCACTTTCACTTCCGCCTCAGCCTGCAGCACCGCGTGCCAGACGGAATCCACTGGGATGCACTGGCCCACCGAAAGATCAGCAGCCTTCTGCTGCAGCACGCTGCTGAGGCCTGGGGAGTAAAGCTGCGTGACCCTCCCTCCCTTCTAGAACAAGGTCAGTGCACACACCCTGCTGTTTGATTTACTATGGGCTGATATGTGATTGGCCTCTGATTTCAAACGGAACATGGTTGAGTCCAGTGGTGCAATTTACTCACTCAATATTTATTCCACAAATCATCAATACTACAGTGGCTGTCTATAGGAAGACCTTTCCATGAACTGCTCCAGATTGATTCTGAATATATTTAAGTATGCATATGCTTCAGTCATGTACTGTGGATGAACATTAATGCTGTACCCTACATTTCAGTGAAAGTTTTTTATATCCCTGAACTTAAATTTTGCTTGAGAGCCTTGTATAAATGTCACACTCTGGGGGAAAAAAAAATAAAAAATTCTAACACAAAATATTGGCATTCGTAGCTTGAGTGTTTAACTTATTTTAGTCCTTTAAAGCCCATGTTCTTAATTTAAAAAAAACAATAAATGTCTTTAGTTTTTAAAAACCAACACTGAAGAAAAGAATTCTAAAATGATGCCAACTGCTTTCAAAGCATTTAACTTGCATATCGTGAAATTTGCCAAAAAAGAGAACAAGTACACAAGTAAGTTTAAGTTCAGCTACTGCAAATAATTTGCATACAAAGACATGTTGCATTTAGTAGCATTTCAAGAAACTACATTTTCAAGAGTTAACCTCTGTTTTATAAGTAACCCACAATCTTTTACAGTGCAATGGCCAGTTGTGATGCTTTTTCCTGTGCACACACAGATGTCTTCAACTAATTACAGTATTTCCTCAATTTTAGATATCAAATGTGAAATGATATGTTTGAAGCACAAAGTTTGTTGATTTAATGATTCCATACCATGACAGGTGTATTGATAATGTTTTCATGATTAGTGATTCAGCCTTACAATGATGGATTTGGACGCTGCAGTTCCAGACCTGGGTGGCCAAGTCCAAGGCCCCTGCCACACACAGGTTGGTAAACCCCAAATTTCTCTTACTGACCATCAGTCAAAGGTTGGCCTCACTGGCACTAGTATGAATAACTGATAGATACAAAAATAACCTGTAGGGACAGGGCTCCACACAGGTTTGTACAACTGACATTTCTAATTCTGGAGTTCCATTTTCTTTAGTTGTCTTTATTCTCTCCGTACTACACCTGGCTTGTTATAACTGTAATAAAGTAAAGAGTAAATACACCTTGGAGTTTTACACAGCAAACTTTTTATTTATTCACAGTGCAGTGCATAAGGGCATAAGAGGACCTGCACTTTCCTTTGCTGCATGTGTTTGAGAAAGAGAGAGTGACAAAAAGGAGGAGAGAAGGTGGAGTAGTAGTCACAGCCTAGACTATTGCACACAATGTAAGTTATATATGACTCAAGCATAGCAGCTGCTTTGTCACTTTCTGACCTGGCCATATTGTCAAATAAGCTTACCTGTATTGGCCTGACAGCGACTCAGCCTATGCATTACTACTACACACACACACACACACACACACACGCACGCACGCACGCACAAAGGGACAGACTTGCCAAATGTCAAGTGCACTGATGCTACCGGTCGCATTTACCAGATTTTTGGTCCAACATGGTCACACCCTGGAGCTCTGGTATTCATATTTTTTGCTTCCATGGTGCTGTCTTACTTCAGCACCACTCCAGGGATGTCTCCTGGGCCAGCAGCAGCAGAATGGCTTCACATCAGACAGGTGTCAGCTGGTTCCAGCAAATCCAGGAAACAAATGCCCTCTGTTCTTGCATTAGTTTTACAACATTCAGGTGTGTTATCTTAGTCTGAATATGTTGTACTTGACATGACATCTAAAAAAAACATTGAAAAAGACTTAGCACGCTATTAAAATGTGGGAAAATACATTCCACCAACCATTCAACTGTTAAAGGAAACGAGATTAAAATGTGCAAAAAGATGGAATCTGATCGTATGATGAAACAAATCACTAGTCCCATTGTTACAAATAGGCTAAGGTCTGTCTGGTATGTTGGAGGAAAAACAGTGTTCACTGTCATAACACTCTGCTGACTGTTCTTTGGTTTGTGTCAGTTCCTAATTATTTCACACAATGTGCTATACATTTCTGAAAGTTGGGAACACACAGCCACATTTTCAGTGTATAATGTCACTTCACAGTAAAACATTCACTACAGATTGAAACAACTTTGTTTGATGCAAGCTTACGTGCACTCAGTGTCCTATCTAGCTTACAAGAAGCGTACTATTGCAGGGTCAGCTGGATGTTTGTGTGGCTACACGTTTCAAGACTTGATATGATTTTCAGTAACCGCAGACGATCACTGAACCAGCTAATGCTGCCGTGTTGGTCTGGAAGCTGATTTGTAACTGTGAATTACAATGTGTAAATTTTTTTAATGAGCATGTTGTTACATAATAATAAGGCAGTGCCATGGATAAATGGAGTGCGCAGTTTAACTAACCAGTCTCCACTGTGACTCTGTGTAAGGAAATATTGCAGCACAAGTTTTAAATGGCTGTACTCTACACATTAGAAAAACAGGTCTGTCAGACTGATGACTGGTTATAAACTATAACTTAGAGAGGTACAGAGCTAGATCCATGCGTCAGCTAATTTTTGCTTGTTGCAGATATATTGGTATCAGCTTATATGTCAACCGAAAAGTAACAAGAAATGCCAAACTCAGTTTGAAGTCGTTTATTTCAGCCAGAGTACTGACAAGTGTAGATTGCAACATAACAGCATGTCTTGCTCAGTATGTACCTTGATCGAATTTTGTTATAAAAACAAATCTAATTGCTTTGTACCATATTTCTTTGTGTGTTTATCTCCCAAAATGTATCTGACCATGTATAGTTATCGTTTTTTTAAAACTGTGAAATGTCTCAGTATCAAAGAAGAACAAATATTAAAGTGGAGAACTGGGAATCAGCAAGTACTCAGTCATATAATACTTCTTTCATATTTATACAGAGTTATTGCTCAGTCTAGCAGTGTCAATTTAAACATCTGATACTGATTTAGTTTTAATCTTTTGGCAAAAATGTGTTTTAGTTTCCATCAAACTTTAGTAATTGTATGCTTAATAGTTTTAGATAGTGATATTGTAGTTCAATTTTTGTTTAGAATTATTTTAATTAATAAGCATTTTGAGACTATAGCTGTTACCATGTTTTTGTACAGTTAACTATAGTTACACAGTCTTATTTTCCTCCAATGGAGATGGCTTAGAATTCATATCTCTCTGCTTTGTAGTGATACAACTGATAAACTCTTCTCAATAAAACTAGTTCACATCATCACTTTCAAAACTACCATGAAAGCCCTTAATGAAAACGCAATGTTTGGTTCCATGAACAAATCCCAAGCATGCTTACTCATGGCTCGTAACAGCCAATCATAACTCTTTTGATAATGGAGCTCCTTCATCCTCTCTTACTCTGACCACTGCTTTTGAGCCTTGCTACTCTGCTGCCTGGGCCACTTGTCGCCACGCCCACATACACCCACAGACCTCCCCTCCTGGTGGCTGCAGCGGTAGGTGGTTGGCCTTGTGCAACAGGCTTCACGCTCTAAAAACATCCACAACTCTGTATTCCCTTAACCACAGAGGCAGGTGTCACCATCTGGTGATACCTGGTCCTGGTACTGGCCGACATTTCGGAACTTTAACCTCAGCGTGGTGTGGCGGCTTTGCCCTGATCACCCTCAGTGCACCTCTGGGTTGTACTTGCTTTCTTTACATGATGCATATCAAAATATTTTCTTACTTCATGTCATTATAATTTATCATTACTCAGAGAAAAACTGTACCCATTTGGTAAAAGACCAGTAGACCAAGTATAAATAATAGTCTTGGTATATGCATTTACAAAAGAAAAGTTTTTTTATATATATAAAAGTGGAAACAGGATATATTTGAAAAGGTTTGGGTACCATTTATTGTTTTTCTGCAAAGTATGGAGTTGATAGATAATGAAGACGTATAAACCTTCTGTGCTTTGTGGCAGCTTTTGAGACAGTAATTATGTGAAGTTAATTAATATGATTTCATAATTTATTTTCACTTTAGGAATCCTGCACTAGGGCTTACTGATGAATGAAAAGACTGATTTGCGTCTTTTGTTTGTTTTTAAACACCTTAATGTGTGCTTTCATTTACATTGCCTTGATTCTCTTTTTATGTGCACACGAAAGTTATTGAATAAGACGTATATAGTCTTTCAAAAAGTACAAGATGAACCTAAAAAGCACTGTTTTTGTCTTACCTGTGCATGGAAGACAGGGCAGTAGACGTCAGACCCCTGCAGATGCCAGCACAGCTCGCCAATCAGCCGACATGGACTGCTGCTGGTCACCACAATAGAGGTAAAGCTCTTGTCTGCCTGCCTGCAGAGGAACTTACTGCATATTTGTGGGCACACTTCTATTATTCACACCTTTTCTTAATCATTCCTTCCAAAACACTGGGTTTCGCCTACCTGCAGCTTCAAACTATACAATTTCAAAACTCACAGCAGGTCTAGTAGTCTAATAGATTGTTCAAAATTGTACTATAATGCTTTCTAAAAATCAGAAAGATGATTATCAACTCTGCTACAAAGAAATAAATAGCTTATATAATGTGAGCAACACTTCCATTTTTCACTTTACAAGCTGTTCTTACTTGTCTGTACTGCCACACATTGACTGTTGTTTTTTCATAATTCTTATTATTACAAATATTATGGCACATATGGAGACACCATTAAGGTCTATGGCAGAAACACCCACACTGGTTTTTTTCTTAAGTGTTTATTTTCCATAAATAAGACAGAGTGCATAGTGACACCTGGTGGACATCCTAAACAGATTAATCCCCCTTACTGAACTTCCAGCCACTTAATTCGACTACGCTGACAAATTATGTCAAAGCAATGGGTTTACTAATTTGAATCAGAGACTGAAAATTGTCTTCTTCATTGTCTGTATGACAGTCATTGTTCATTCCTTAGTCAGACCATAATTTGCAGTGTTTTTGCAAAGTCGTCAACCCCTTTTATTTCACATTTTAAGGAAGGTTTAACTGAATTTAAATGGAATTTATGCATCAGCCAATGTTTCTTTTGCAAAAACAGGTTTCACTCCAGAAACTCAAATGTCTGCACATGATTAAGTGAGTTGTACGTTAAAGTTGCACACCTAAGTCTCAGTTCTCTGTGACTGTTAGAAAACAATGGACTATCTACAAAGAGCTGATTATTATTGATTTACAGCTGTACTGCAATATACTGCAACAATGATGGAAGAAAACTTTAGACTGTGTTTGGATTGAAAAAGAAAGCAAATCTGTCCCTGCAGCTGATGTAGGTGACATTGACAGTACTGTAAGGCTGCTGAAAGCACGAATTGTGCTTCTGAGAAGAAATATGTCAGTCAATACAAATCTGTATAGAAGAATGTACCCATGACAAGAGTGACAACAAGGCTACAGTGACCTGTAAGGAAAATGCTCATCTCTGCATCATAAAAACGTATCTCTCTTTGTCAGTTCTGCTCTGCTGCTTTTCTATCTGCCTTTACAAATTCACTTTAGTCCTGAGTACTTATCTTGTTTTTATATAGCACTTATAGCTTTCTGCTTGGTGGGAGACATTTGTGCACTTTAGTGACTGGAGAAGGATAGGAAATCAACATGTAGACCACAATGAAACACTAACATTAAACACAGCGACAAATTACTAACAGTCGAAGGATTTAGTGCCTGCAAGTGATTAGGCTTGCATCCAAACACTTTCAAGGATAATTCTTATTTATTTCAACCTGTTGTGTGAATGTGGCTCCTGCAGTTTCAGGTCAGGGTGGGTCCATGAAAATCTATTCAGAAATAGATGCCAGTGTTTAGTTTACTCAGATTATCTTGCAGCAATAGTGCACATCTAAGGTCTGTGACTTTTTAACTAGTAGGTCATCTGTCATTTCTTGTAGTAAACACATTGGCTGTAGGAGAGATTAGCTAGATGAAGATCACGACTGGGTAAAACCATGTCCAAAATAGGAGTGTTTGTGCTTTATTCCTGCTCAGCAGTGGTGAGTGCCTGCCCACAGTGATCTGAGGTGAACAACAATAGCTACATTTATGGGAAAATCTGCCATTTTAAAAAGCTGGAAATATTAATTAATTTCAGAGGGTCAGCAGATGGGTGATATCACAGCACAGTCTGTCAATATTGTTATTAAAACGCGAGATGAAAACACATAGATTTATCTTTCTCTTCATTGCTACCTCTAGTCAGGAAATCAACACTAGCAGTCGCTCCATACTGCTCCTGTCTAAAAGAGATTTGTGAACTAAATGTGTATCTTCTCAGTAATCCTCTATCTCATGATACATAATGAATGCTATAAAATGCCCCAACCACCCCCCTGGAAAAAAAACAGTGGGAAGCATGAAATGGAAGTGTTTGAACAGACAGAAACCTCAGCGAAGTGTGGACAAGCAGAGTCTCACCTCATTACACCAGGTTTGAGCATGACAGTCAGCAGGCTGCCTCTGTGAACTTCCATTTCTCCAACAAAGAACCACTGAGGCATGCTTTGCATACTTCTGCTTTAGTCTGACACAGCTCTGTGGAGATGGAGCTGAAGCTGGGAATGGAGTGAACACTGGCAGTCTGTGATGTTTTTTTACCAAAGGAAGCCAAAGACATGAGAGAGGCAAAAGATCAAATGTTGGTGACAGTAGGATTTCTCCAGGAGTCAGTGACTGAGCTTTGTAATTCTCTTTCACTCTAAATGACCAATGTGAAAACGTCTCTATGTCTTCATGTCTTTGAACAGGGATTTGTTTCCCCTCCTGTTGCAACTTTCCTCAACCCAGTGTCCTCACACGTAGGTCAGGAACTGGGAGAGGCTGAAAGCAGTCGGGGCCCTGCAACCCTGCTTCCCAGGAAGTAAAGTGCTCACATTTTATTGGCCCCTCAGGTTTAGTTTTGTTGCTCTGTGTGTGCGTGTGTGTAGTCTGCAGAGGAAATGAAAACTTGTACACTACTGCAGCCATTCTGGTGACTGATGCTTGGTAAACAGATTTTTTGTTTTCTAAAAAAAAAAAAATCTGGCTCAAATGTCCCCAGATAGCTTTCACCATAACAGTCTGATTGTATATGGACATAGTTTTTACATCATTGCTCAATGAAACTTAAATACAGCTACACGTTTTCATTATCTCGAAACATAAACGGAATAGAAATTCAATATTTTTGCATGCACATGACAATTTTTAACAACAAGCTGCTGGTAGAAAACAATGCTGCTACCTATAAAACTCCCACAAGCTGTTTCCCCTCAGGCATTTTATATTTTCCATAGCTGTACTTGACAATCAGATGTGGCTGCCCACTCAGCGAGCTTCATTGATTGCATCAGTACAGCAATCAGCCCTCATTCAGAGGAGAGCCTTCACCTGTTGGCCAATTCACAATAGCTAATAAAGAGCCTTTCGAACATTCTGAAAGCCTCCTGCCCACCTTTAATCAGCCTGAAAGAATAACTAACAAGTCATACTCGGCTTTCTCAGCTGCTGTCTGTGATTCAACCACGACTATATTCTCTCATGTTCCTTGGCAACACTCAATTTAAATACCCATATTTTCTCATTTTTGGGGGTTTAGTTAGTATGTTCTCGTATCACACAATTCTGCAGCCTTTATAATATTAAATGCTTGGGGTTTTTTTGGGTTATCAATATTAAGTTTAATTACAATTCCTACCAAGAAGTTCCTTTGAGTTCCTCCTCATGCTGTGCTTGTAAACATAGAAAATGAAAGTAGTTCAATTTGAGATTATGTAAGCCAATTATCAGATTTCTACTTAAACCAAAATTAACCTAGTTCCTTTGTGCTTCTGTATCTTTTATCTGTAGTTGAACCTGTGTGTTACCCACAGCTGCTCCACCTCTACAGGCAGCAAACCTTTGCTGGTGTTGGAGTTGGCCAGTATGACCCTCCGCTCTCTGTGCACCCTCATCCTCTTCCAGGTCAAGATTGTCCAGCTGCTGGATATTGGACTCAACACAGACAGCGTAAGTGCAGCGCAGTTTGTCCACATGTAGCAAAAGTGAGTGTTTTTTTGCAGCACAGCAGTGTTGTGACTGTCTGTGTTTCCTTTTCTTCCTTGCTGACAGATTATAGCACTTTGCCCCCTGCCAGACTGTGGTTACGACAGCAAATTCATCTTCAGATCAGAGCCACAGGCTACAAGGCGGACTTCGAGTTCAGTGCAGGTATGACAGTGATTCTGATATTAGGTTAGTATGAGCTATATTTTTGTATTGAAGCACCGTGGTTCAGAAGAAATGAGCTGCATGCATGCACCTAAAGAAAAAAAAGACGCAAGGCCACAGAAGTAAAATCTAATCAGGCCACTCTTAAAAGCCTGAGGAGTAGGCGTATTTGCGTCATCCTGTTCGTTTCCCTAAAATGTGATCGAAATGAAGATACATATTCAATCTAAGCTTAGTTTTCAAACTTTTCTTAATTGAGTCTTAAAACAAATGTTAATTTCTCTATTACAAAAATATCATAAATCACATTAATCCAATCCTTAACTGTGGCAGGTTTTGTTAATTATCTTTTCGTGAGAGCCTTCTGGCTTTCTGGAAACTAAATATTAAATGTATGTTCATTTTCAAAACCCTTAAAGAAAACTGGGCTTGTACCTAATATAATGTCTTAAAACAGAATGCCAGTGCTGTTTTCAGTACCTTCTCCTTAGTAGTTTCATTTTTTCCCATTATTGGAGGAGAAATGGGCTTTCCCACAACACATGATAATCATTTGCCTTATTTGCTCCACAGGACCTCCAACATTAAGTTTCTTACTTTAATAAACTCCTTTGTGATGGTGTTTTTAAGAAGCGAATTATAGTCTTCCACCCAAGCCTGTTTTTCTTTGTTGTTTCTTTCATTTTTCCCAAGCATCCAATTGTAACGTGAAACTGCCTTCCTTTTCCATTTCCCCCCTTACCTTTTGCAATCCATTACACAACTTTGAAATATTTCTGTGATATTTCATTTTTATGGTGTGGTGGGTTGCACTGATCATCTGTGAAGGGCGACTAGTGTTGGTCTACAAACATTATTTAGGTGCTTGTACCTGTCAAAGGAGCAAAGAAAATTGCATTGTAATGAGATGATCAATGCATTTACTTCACCTGTCACTGATTTGGTGTAATGTCTAAGTTGTAAAAAGCTTTATTAGTTAATCCATTGATTTTTTTTTTTTTGTTTCTGAATGTTTTTTTTTTTTGTTTTTTTTCTTAAGGCTTGTAGTAGAAAGGTTACTGCAGTTTTCTGCTTATTTTTAAAACCTGTTATCCATCCTGTTGGGCATTAAATCGGAGTCATAGCCTATCCATCTCAGCAGATGATAAGGTTCTTTGGGCCACTTTTCCCTAACCACATTAAACCAGATTTTGAATGATGTTTCCATCTGTGGATTAGCCCCCTTAAGGCATTAAATCAATGCACTGTTGCCTGTTACAGCCTGCAGTGGAATATCTGGCCATGTACTGCATTACACTTTGATCTGTGAGACATGTTATATTTGTTAACTAAGGTTTTTCTCTGTGCTGGTAATAATTTTTAATGCTTTGACAGAAGTGGCCTTTTCTTTCCTTGGATAACTGAATGAGTCCCCTGCCTGACCTAAGGCTCTCTCATTGCCAAATATTTCTTAAGATCATTTTTTTTTATATGTCTTGGAATCATTCGGTTAGGAGGTCAGCTGGTATGCTTTAAAACAAGTATAAAAGCCTTGGTAGTATATGTATCTTTATTGCGTCCACTCTGTGGTCTTACTGGACAGTGCAATAGATTCCAGCAGATCAGTTCTGACCTAATCTTGAAAATCACACACTCATAATTTATTGGCACAATTTGTAGAGGTTCTTTGGAATATTCACTCCTAAGTACCTCGCTTAGACAAATTCCCTGTTCATTTAAAATTTCCATTGGTGTAGCTGAATGTCAACAGTTCTGACTTGTGGGGATTCTATTTGTAACCTGATAATGAACCGTTGGTAAGCTAACAATGACAAATTCAAAAGTACAGAAATCTCTCACCTACCAAAACTGTTGTAGCGCTTGGTCGGTTCACAGAGTAATTTCAGCGTACTCTGTTAACCTTGCTGTTAATTAAAAGCATGTACATATCAGATAGGTGGGGTTTGTAATGGATAAATGATGTGAAGTATAACTGGCTGTTACATACAGCAGTAAAACGTAATGATTCAGTAAGTATAGTAACTATTACACAAATTAACCACAGCACTAGAGTATAAAATATAATAGAGTAGAACTGAAATAATGCAAGAACCAAATGAAAGTAGTATGTAATAAAGTAGTTTAAATATACTTTAAAGGCTTTAATACCATGTTGTAAATAAAATTAAATTAGTCTAGAGGCCATGTTTTGTAAACTTATGAACAGTAGATTGTCATGCAACAGGCAAACTCTGTTCTCTGTTGTACTCTGCTCCAATGTGACTCCATGTATTCCTCACAGTTAATTGGTCAGGAGGTGGCCGTTCCATATGTGTTGATTTGTAATGCTAAACAAACTCAGATCTGTGCAGGTTTGGTCTGCAATGCTGGTTACAATGGCAGCTAAGTTCAAAGTGAGCTCTGCCTTTGCAAGATCTGAAAACCAGGTTTAACCCCTTCAGTCAGTAATATGATGAGAAGAAAAGATATTCCCAGTGAACATCAAAGGCACTGCATTTTTGCCACATTGTGTGTTCACTGGGTTAAGATTGAAAAGACGTGATATGTTTTTTTAATGCAAATTGTTTCTGATGTTGTGATGCAAAACAGTTGGCTCCAGGCTGTAAATATCTATGTCAGGATGGACATGGATCTGAAACTGCTTTTAAGACACTAATGTGTCCTTTGAAATGAAGGAATACAGGTAGAACAATCAATCCAACAGTCTGAACAGAGGATCGATGCAGACCTCTTCGTTTTGAAAAAGACTCAAAAGAACTGTTGCACAATGTTTGTATTTTAGTGTCTTGCGTCATTTTCTCTGTATGTTTACTTTCTGTAGGATCCTGTTATCTGGACAACATTCGCCAGAGAAGGGAAATACGCAGGAAGAGCAGTGATCTGGTTGCCTGTATTGTTAGATAGTCAGAGGGACGGTCCCTGCCTCTTTGGGAACATTATATGTCTTCATTAGACGGTGCCAGAAGTGAGATGACAGGAAAGAGAGAGATGCAGCAAAGGTCCAGGGCAAAAATGGCATTTTTAATTGAATTATTCAAGTCATGTATGAACACTGTCTGGTTCAGCCTTCTCAGTTGTGAGGAGTTTGCTGTTCTCTGTTTTGTATCATAAAAACTTTGATATATTTGGGTTTCTAAACTGTTTTGAACCTGTATATCAGGAAACATTTTCACTCACAAAACTAATCACATATTTCCTCTCTCTCCACTTATCACACTGCAGCTATTGCATGTTTGATGCATCAGCAACACATTATTATTTAAGACTGTGTATAAATAATGGTTTGCCTCGACTTAGTTTACTCTATGAATCAGCACTGTAAGGAGACAAAGCACCCAAACACATAACAGTTGTATTTTTTCCCCCTTATTTTTTTCTGTTGCGGTCTGTGGCCACTAATCAAGTGATTGTTAGGCTTTAGCATACCAGTAAACATGGCAGTAAATATGCTGAGACCTTACTCTAATTCTATATGCAGAATCGTGATCAAAAGAATTGTAGAAGCACCTGTGTGTGTACTTTAGAAAGCATAAGTTGAGAGTTTCATATTTACTTTCTCCAGACCGGATAAAAGTGTCAAAAATTTCCTCAGGCTTTATTTTAATTTATTTACAATCAGTCGGCAGATAACTCTGATAAAACACTGAGCTCTCTCGCTTTCTAAAGAATTATCATGTGGTTACCAATCAGTCGAGTCTGACACGACGTCCTCACTATCATCCCCAACCACAATCACCAATTCAGTGTACAGTACAGTACAATACAAAAGAAATATTAAGGTCCAACAGCTTAGAAAAAAACAGCTGTTTCTACACAAGGCTTCATCCTCAAAAGCGGATGACTCATGTAGACCATTTGGGCCCATTGTGTTTTGCTCAGTCATTTCAGAACATTTCTTTTCCGAGACACCTTCAAGGCCAACAGATGGGTCATAATTTGCTTCCATGTAGTGCCAGGTCAATATCTGTGTTTTCTTTTCATTTGGCCAACATAAAGTTTTCAACAAGGACAGTGCAACATGTAGACCACTGTGTCCACGGTGAAAGATTTTTTTTTTTCACCAGCAAGAGGATGCTTGAAGTATTTTTTTTTTTTGTTTGTGGCACTGTGGTGTTGCCTTTGAGTCACAGCCAATTGCCGCTTTCAGGCTTCTTGAAAGACTGTGCAAGTGCATCTTTTATCTTTGGAGCAGAAAGAAAAAAAGCAGCGGAGCCTTTGTTTCTGCAATTCAAGCCTTGTTTCTGATTTGAGTATATGCCAATTTTACACAACAATGTTTTTGATTTGTTTAGAATAATGATTCCAATCTGTAAAAAGCATTTGCAAGTTGAGTGGGTTTTTTTTTTTTTTTGTCTGGATGTTGTGTATGTTTATTCACACTGAATTGGTGTTTTTAGAAAGGCAAAGAAGGGAACTTATATCTGCTGTGTTTTAAAAATCATCAAGAACAGTTTCAACATAAAGATATAAACTGCCTTTAGAAAATCTAAGAAATAATGTGGGGAGGATAGTGTGTGTAAAATGATCACTCGGATTTCAGTAAGTAGTAGTCAGAGCTGTATTGTTTTACTTTGTAAAGATTTGTCCATCTTAAAAGCTGATTGTGAACAAGTTGCTTCTACTGTAATGTTAACTAAAGAAGTACTGTTGCTTCAGTATAACTGATAATCAAAGCCTACGCCAAAATGAACATCAGCAATAAGCCTGGTTTGTGATTTTACATAGAAAAGGATGATGGTCATTGTTGTTGAGCTTTCTAGTTTCCAACAAGAACAGTAGCATAATGTGGGCTGTTTGTTTTGTTTGTTTGTTTTCTTTAAGCAAAATGGAATTTCATATATGGAGTTGTTTATGTGAGAATCACATCTGAAAGTTCTATTAAGACATAGAAGGACTGAAGGCTCTCAGCATCTTAGTGTTATCAGCAGTAGGTCAGAATCATCATGACTGAACGTTTAAAAGGCCTTTAGGGTCTTTCAACAGCAACAAAAAAAGGCCTCAAAGAA